GGGCAGGGCAGGGCAGGGTAGGGCAGGGCTGGACTGAGTAGTATAGAGAGGGTAAGAAAGGACAAGGCAGAGCAGGATCCAGGCAGGGCAGGGCAGGGCTGGGCTGGGCCAGGCTGGGCTGAGTAGTATAGGGAAGGCATGGGAGGATAAGGCAGGGCAGGATCCAGGCAGGCAGGGTAAAGCAGGGCTGTGCTGGGCTGTGCTGGGCTGTGCTGGGCTGAGTAGTATAGGGACAGGGAAGGGAAGGAAGGATAAGGCAGGGCAGGACCCAGGCAGAGCAGGGCAGGGCTGGGGAGGCAGAGCTAGTCTGGGCTGGGCCATTCCTGCCAAAAAGCATGGACTAGAGCCAAGGCCCTGAGTATGTGCTGGAGCTGAGGTCTCAGCAGGCAGGCAGGTGCTCACTCACCATGGCATAGAGATCGTTGCGCAGCAGGGCCCGGTTGTGGTTGATCTCCCGCTGCAGGATGATGAGCAGGAAGAGCAGCCCCAGCAGGATGTACCCCAGGTTGCTGAGGATGTTGTTGAAGGCGCTAGAAAGGGCAATTCAAGGTACACTGTGTTGGCCTCACATACAGACCTTTTCTCTGGCCTGGGCAGACATTTACAAAGTACCCCCATCCCTGCCCTGGTTCCTGGCTCCCCTGCAGAAGGGGACTCCTAGCACAATCCCCACCTGAGGTTGCCCAGTGGGTGAGCACAGAGGAAGTTGTAGTAGCAGATGTCCTGATTGCCTGTGACATTCACCACCTGTGTGGGGGGGGGAGCTGTTAACATGCCCATCTCAGCCCACAGCCCACACCACAACCTGGGCCTGAATGGCAAGAGAGCACCTGTCACCATGGCTAGCATGTGTGCATGTGCCCGGGCATCTACCTCTTCTGAAAACAGATGCCAAGTGGCACAGCATTGCCCACCTCCTTAGGTGTGGCTAGAAACCCTGACACATGACCGTGACAGAAGTTCCTGCCCCACAGTACATAGAAAAGAGAAGGGAAACCAACACTTACAAAGCCCCATGACTTTTGTTTCATAATCCTCACCACACTGTTTTCAAGTTGCCCTCATTTCGCAGACATAGAAACTGATGCACAGGGAAGTTAAGTGATTTGCCCAAGGTCTCTCAGCTGGCATGGCAGAGTTGGGACCTAAGACCTGTGCTCATTGGAGGGAGAGCCCTGGCTTCTAGGCTCCGTGCTTTAGGGCTAAGTCCCAGACTGTGACCAAGGTAAGCCAGACCTGGCTCCTCACCGTCTGGTAGGTGATCACCAGCTGTATCACAGGAAGGGCATAGAAGACAGCAATGGTGGCGATGTTCCTGAGGAGCAGGAAAGTAGCAGTAAGGTGGGCAGAACCTGAGAAGTCCCCACCCCCTGTGACAGGAGTCCCCCACCTGTCCCGTCTACCCACCAAAAGTAGATCTGGTACTTCTTCCGCAGAACACGTTTGTCCTTCCGTGCCAGGTCAGCCACGTAGAGGTATTGCTGGGGAGAAGCAGGGGGAGCTCTGTTTACCTACCACCCTAGAACCCATGCAGACAGGAACCTAAGCCATCACACTGTGGCAGGGTCTTTGCCAGCCAGTTGGGGAAGGGGTTGGGAGCCAAGTTAATTTCGCCTATTCTGGCCCAGCTGAGCTCTTCCTCTGCTTCCCTAATAGACCGCGGAAGTATGTGGGGCCTGAACACAGAATGCCCCATGGTCAGAAAATTCCAGCCAGGGCCAGGCCCTTGGGTATCAGACCTTGGTGCGAATGACATTCTTGTCGGACTCGATGTCAGTCAGTGTGTCATAGTCATCCTCTTCCACGGAGCTCATGGAATCCAGGCGTGGCCGAGGACCCACTGGGTCAAAGGGGTGGTCTGGGAAGGGCAGGGAAAAAGGAATGGGGATGGTGAGCACAAAACTTGAGGTCGGCCCCACCCAGTCAAGGCAATTGTCCAAATTACTAGGCACTGGGGAAGAGGCAAACTGTGGGCCATAGCTCAGAGCAGGGTTGGGGGTGGGCTTAGGTGCTGGGAGGTGTGAGGTACTTCTAAGCCAGGGGTGAGCAAGGGTGGCCTCTGCAAAGAGGAGACCACAGAGGGACAGCCCCAGCTGTGCTCCACGCCTGGCTCCCCTGCCTGAGCTAGAACTTCCCAGGCCAGGCAGACCCCAGGCCCTGCACACAAGTAACAGGATTGAATTCAGCCAGTCATGTTGATTACAAGGTGCCTGGCCCTGTGGGTTCTGAGAAGACACTGCCTTGGCCCCCGCTGGGTTAATGAGCCAGCAGGTCTGGGGTATAGGAAAGGGCAAGAGGCTGCCTCTACAAAGAGCACTCTTCTTTATCCTCATCCGTCTCCCGCTTTCAGAAGCTTCCTTCTGTGACCTCACCTAATCAAAGCCCCCAGAGGCCAGAAATCTGACCCTTGAAGACCAGGTGAGGATGGTGCTGGCAAAAAGGACACCAACTAGAATATCTGACCTGGGGGTAGCTGAGGTGCCAGCCCACCAGCACTGGGGACCACACTTGTCTATCTCAGAAGACACACAAGCCGGCATCACTGGCATTAGATGGGAAGCCATGCACCAAGCATCTTTCTAGTCCCAGAGCCAATAGGCTCCAGTCAACCACCCTGGCAGGAGCTGATTGGCAGCCCCACCCCCTCCCCACATCTACCCATGGCAATGCACAGCTGCCGCATCTGGCCAAAGGGGAGGCGCCGCTTGAACTGGTCGTGCCCTTCAAAGGAAAGGGAAAGTTACCAGGGAACTGGGGACAAGGAGAAAATAATGAGGGAGGAGAGAGGGCAGGAGAACAGCAGGCTCTTTTCTTTTTCTAGCATCTGCCAGAAGAGGCAACTGTCCACCCTGATGTTTCATCCAGCCAATAGCGGCCCTGTACCATACACCCTGCCTGCCTGGCCCACTCACCCTGGTAACTGTAAGACAGGTCCCCACTACCAGCACTGTCAACCAAAGCATCAGTGGATCCGGAACCATTCTCTGCAGGGAACAGTAAGTGGTGAGGCAAGAGGGAGTGACCTCAGAGAAAGGGGCCCATCCCTATGGGGCTCTGAGAAGCTGCAAGGGCTCAGGTATCAAGAGGAGGCTGCTGCCTCTTCAACACATGGAGACTGAGGTAGGAATGGGCAAGTACATTTTCTGGCTTTGACACTTACCCAAGGAGCCATAGTTGTAACCCTCATAAGAGCTGCCAGGAAAGGAATCAGCCAGGACCCGAGGGTGACCTGCAATGAGATGTCAAGGTCCCTTTAGCCCTGGAAGCAGAGAGGTCTACAGTCTGGGGGAAGAGGGAAAAATCCAGAAAAGACAGCCACAGAGGAGCCATGCCAACTGCAAAAAGTAAACACCTATCCAGGCAAACACATCTCACTCCCCCTACCACAGCACACATGCTTGAACCCCAGCATGCCTCTCAATGGAAACATGCCACCCTGTGTCCTCCCTAGAGAGAGGAAAGTCAGGAAACCAACACACCCAAGCTACCAACCGTAAGGATACACAACATCTGGCTGCCCAGCCACCCCCCTGACAACCCTGGGCTTCAACTCCCTCCCCCTGGACTGCAGCTCCTCTATCCCTAGCACCTGGAGCTTACCAAGGAGAGAAGCTGAGAGAGAAGGTCCCAAGCAGGAGGGAGGACAGAGAGTAAGGGAAGGTGAAGAAAGAGAGCAGAATGTTAATAACCCCAGATACTGTGAGCTGTACTGCCTGAAGTGGACAGTGCAGACAGATGCAGAACAAAGAGATCAAGTGACAGCTTCCAGGGTGGTGTGTTAGGGATGGATGGGCACAAGAATGTTATTCCCTGTCTGAACAATCCAAATTCCCCAGCATTTCCTCCTCCAACCCATGAGGGAGCCACCCACCATTTTCCCTTTGGAGACAGTAACCAAACCCTGCCCTCCCCTCCCAGTCCCCCTGGAGGTACCACTTTCTGGGCAGGTTCGGTCTATGGCCAGCAGAAGAGTCTTCTTCTTCTGCCTGTAGGGAAAGAATCCAGAGGACACCCAGATGGGGCGGGACAAGGATCCCTCTGTGCTGGGCTGGCCTCCCTTCTACCCTTGCCACCCCATTCTGATCCTTCTAATGCGGTCCTCTAGCCTGGATCAGAAGTCCTCTCAGGCTGGGGAGCAACTCAGGGTCTCACTTCTTGGGAAGGAGACTGAGGGGAGGGGCTGTCCTTCAGAGAAGTGGCCCACGGATGACAAACCCTATGAGGGACCAGCTTTGTTGGAGGATCATTAGATTACCCTAAGCGAGCTCAGGTCCTGGCAGGCAATCTCCACCATGCCCCTGTCTACCAATCCCAATCAGGGGAGGCCCAAGAGTTCCATCTCACCTCCAGTTCTCCCAACAGGCCAGGAGGACGGTCAACAGGTAGAAGGAGAGAAATATCCCCAGGCAAAAGAGCATCCCACCAACGTAGGCCTCAGCTGCAAGGGAAGAAACAGGAAGGCAAAAGCTTGCAACAGTGCCCACCATGGCACCAAGGTCTTCATGATCTGGCTTCTCTGTGTAGCTCATCATGTCTCTCGAAGTGTGAACAACTGGCAATTTCCCAATTCCTCAAATTCTGACATGATTTTGCCTTTGCTCATGTTGCTTCTTATGCTAGAATTTTCTATTTCTTGAAAACTCTACTTCAACTTAACTTTTAAACCACATCCCAAGAACTGTGATTTTTTCCCTCTAGGAAATCTTCTCTGTCCTTCACTCAGGCAGTGACTTGTCCTTTGCTCATCACAGCTCTTTGGCATCCTGCAGAGCAACAACCGCCTGTCTCTCTACACAGGATCTCCTTATGAAGTGTAACCCATAGCCCTGTGTGGTGGTACACATCTACAATCCCAGAACGCACAAGGATGAGGCAGAAGAATCTCAAGCTCTAGGCCAGCCCAGGCCACATAGCAAGTTCAAGGTCAGTATGAACTATATAGAAAGACACTATCTCAAAGAGAAAGAAAGAAAAAGAGAGAGAGAAAAAAGAGAGAGAGGGAGGGAAGAAGGAGAAGGGATGGGAAAGGATAGAAAGGGAAGGAAAAGGAGGGAAGGGGAGTGGAAGGAGGGAGGGAGGGAAAAAGAAAGAAAATAGCCCTAGCATAGCACCTGACATATAGGAAGGACCCAATAAATATTTGCTGGGTAAATAAGCCATGTAGGAGAAGCAGCTTCTTTCCCCTCCTACCACATTTCCTTATTCCTACCATATTCCTTATTTTTACCTTATATTCGCCAGTTTATACAGGGCACATTTAATCACTCAGTAAATATTTACTGAACACTGACTAAGGCCCCCAAATTTTGCTGCTAATTTTGTGCTAAGCTTCACGACTGTGTTAATAAGACTGATTTTATTACATCTGGCTTGATGAGATTCTGCTCCTGATAAGTGCAGAGAGTGACCTAGAACTCAACTCTTCAGACTTGGGTCACAGACTCTGTGCCCTACACCAGGGAACCCACCTCCCTGCCAAGAACACCAACCTCCACCCAATGGCCTGCCTGGGTAGGTCCTCACCACCTTCCTGTTCAGAGAACACCCTCACCCCTGGGTCTGAGCAGAAGAGACAGGGAGGCCGGCCTATCCCACTCAGTCACCCGCACTCACACGTGACTGCTTTGGATACCAGCACTGACAGGGTTTTCTGGCGGTGCCCTTGATCAACCGGTTCATCTGGAAGTAAAATGTCAAAGAGGCAAAGCAGTTGCCAGGAGCTTGGTGAGAGTCAGTGGGACCTGGGCTTGGAGGCACTGGGGCCAAAACCCTGTGTCCCATCAGATCCACCAACAGCTATGTGGGCTCTTCCAGCCCTCAAGAAGCCACCAAGCACTCCCCAGCCCTAGTATGCATCAGGCACAGAGTGTACCTTCTACAAAGGGGTAGAAAGGCAAGGAACCCCCGCAGGCCTGGTCTTCAGTCTTCACCACCACCACTACATAAAAGCTGTTGCTGGGGAAGTCTTTGCGCTGCAGGGTGTGGAAGAGGAGAAGGATCATCGTCATGGCCACCATTCTTTTCTGATGTTTACTCTGGGCCAGATACTATGCTAAAATCTTTACACATATTACTTAATCCAATGACAAATTATTGGGGGGGGGGATTTAGCTCAGTAGTTTCGCTGCCTGCTGTGCAAGCACAAGGACCCAAGTTCGATCCCTGGTACCAAAAAAAAACAAAACAAAAAAACAAATTATTTTTTGGTACTGGGAACTGAACACAGGGCCTTTGCATTGAGCTCTTCTTTTATTTTTTATTTTGAGACAAAGTCTGGCTAAGTTGCCCAAGTAGGACTCAAATTTGTGTCTTTCTGCCCCAGGAATATATAGTCCCAAGTAGCTGGGATTATAGGCATATGGCACTGTGCCTAGCTCCCACAAAGATTCTTGAGAGAAATACTACTTTACTACTATTACCTGCATTGGACAGATTCAGAAGTTAGCATGGGTCATGCTGCCAACCACTGGAAGAGCCAGGATTATCTGGCTCCACAGCCCAAACCAAACCTACATTATGGCCAGGTGAGCAAATGTGTATGTGCCCCACATGGCTGTAGAAGAAAAAGTGGAGGTAGGTATCACACTGCCTGTCAGTTGCAAAACTTGAGGTTGTGAGGTGAACACACCGCTTCTCCCTCCCTGACACCAGAATGCACCTATGCCAAGGGTAGCATCTTGAACAGCGCCCTCATTTGCATTGTAAGGAATAAAATAAAGACAGGAAGAAAGGGAATTCTGCTCTTTCCTATCCCCAAGAGTGACTAGGATTATAGTTTAACTCACCTATACTGGGGGACCCAAAGTCACAGGTATTGGAGGGCCAAGATTCAGCCATGGATAGGGTAGGAATGGGGCAGAGGAAAAGGGGCAGGGTTTGGAAAGTCACCCAGCTTATCAGCCAGCCACTTCTCCCAGAAGGCCATGTGCATTTCCTACCTGGACCGTGATGGCTGCCTTCTTGGTCATAGTCTGGTACATGCCAATGAAGGCTACATTGTTGTCCAGGTCGTAGACAGGGCACTACAGAGGAAGGAGGGGAGAGGCAGATGGATGGGGACCTGGGTCCTGTCCCTCTCTTTAGTGATGCTGCTACCTACTGGTGAGAGGAAAAGGATAGGCAACTTACCAGGACATCCTGGATGGAGATGACTGAGCAGGGAAAGGCCACGTCAGAGGTCACCTTGACAATCACGGAGTCTGCTCCCTCAGGGAACTCATACTTGAAGTACTGAGGGCACAGGAGGGCAGAGTGAGCCCCACCTTGTGAGGATGCTCTCTGCCCCTGGATGGTACAGTCTCCTATGAGCCAAGCCCCAGAATCTTCTTGGGTTAAGTAGAGGAGGCTCTCTGGGAAGAAGGGCCTTGACTGTAAGCAACCTTACTGAGCACTCAGGCAGAGTTGGAAAGATGGCAACTAGACTCATGTCTCTACACTGACCCACTGTCTGTTCCTCACCACAATAGGATGGGAGCTCCTCCTTCCAGACTCTCCATGGAGAATGCAACCACTCCCAACTTCTACTCCTGCTCTCATGTTCACACACCCCATTTGTCCCTCCACAAGGGTGAGGATGACAATGACAAGAGGATTTTACCTGGGGCTGGGCTGCAGTGGTATTGAAGCTAAATTGCTCCCCGGTCCTGCAGGGCACAGAAGGACCCCTATGTCACTCCTAGAGCCTTGAAAGGAAGCCAGTCCCCACAGTACCCCTCGCTCTACCCTGCAGACCTGAGGACAAAGTCATCTATCCGGGTGACCCGGAGCTGATACGTGGTGTTGACAGGTGACAGCGTGGAGACATCCACATAGAAGAATTGGACCTCAGACTCATTCTTGGTGGGGGGCTGACACAGTGTTCGCTCCACTTTTTGGTAGAGGTACTTGCGCTGAAACCTATAGCCCAAAGCAGAGTCAGGATATGACTGCTATCCTGCCACTCCAGAGCAGTGTGGCCCCAATTCTTCCAATCAGGTTCCCACAACTCCCAAGCCTTAGGCTGACAAGCTCCAGGCACAGGAAGTGGAGAGGAGAAGGTTGGGGGGAGGGTTCCTGGGTGAGGCTCTGAGCAAGGACTGGCCTAAGGCCAACCCCTCCCTGCTCCCCAGGTCCTACTCACAGCCCTCGCAGGATTAGGGGCACCTGGAAGGACACCACAGCCTCCTTCTGGCGGACCACAAACAGCAAAGGCGCTCCCTTCTCCTTGTTCAGGACGTTCACAGACACACGCACACCCTCGGTCTGGAGATGACAAGGAAGTGTTCTCACATCTCCATCCCTGCCCCGGTATAAGGCTAGAGACTGTGAGCCATGCCCTCCCTCCCTCATCTACCCTGGCCAGTTCTGAAGCCATCGACACTCCTTCTGCCAGAACAAGGCCCATCTCCAGGAAGGACTGGACTGGGTGAGAGGAGAGGCTCAGGAAGAGCCTGGCTCCTGGCCGCAGGTGGGTTCTGGGCAGCAGGACCTGGGGTGTCTCCAGGATACCCCATTCCATCCATGTGCGTAGGATGCACATGCCTGCACACACATGCATATGTACACCACGCACACACACACACACAAACACACAGGAGAAAAGCAAGAAATGATTGTCTTCCTTGTGAGCCAGGAGACCAGCATGAGGCTCTGGTTCAACAACTGATCTGAGGCCAGAGCCAGCAGGGATGGGGGTAAGGAACAATGTGGGGAAGGCAGAGATGTTGAAAGGCAAGTTATATCTTTAGCTCTGACCAAGGAACAGGACTATAGAGAAGTCACTTCGCATTTCTGGGCCTCAATTTCCCCCTCTGCAAAATAATATTCTCATTCTTACCTATAGAGGAAGGTACTGTGTATAACAGTGGGAACTTTAAAAAATCCTGGGAGGGGCCAGGGATTTAGCTCAGTGGTTCTGGCGCCTGCCTCGCAAGCGCAAGGACCTGAGTTCGATCCCGGGTACCAAAAAAAAAAAAAAAAAATCCTGGGAATAGTTATTAATGGGATGCCAAAACCCAAAGCTTAGGGTAGCATTTCCCAAAGAAGTAGACATTGCAGCTCTAAGGGTAACCTCAGATATAGGACAAAGAAAGAAATCACACAAGCAAGAGAAGATCACACTTCGGGGAACAGCACTGAAGGGAAATCTTGGCTTGCTAGACAGAAAACAAACCCTCTCTCTCCATCTAGGAAAAAAAAAAGTCTCAGTCTGACCATTTTCAACTCCACTGTTTCCTAGTAAATCCAGATCCAGATCCAGTTCTGGAGAGAGATGAGAAAGCTAGCAGGAGCCAGGTGTGGTGGCACAGGCCTATCCCCAGCACTTGGGAGGCTGAGGCAGAAGGATGGCAGTGAGGCCAGCCTGGGCTACATAGTGAGTTCAAGGCCAGCCTGAACTGCAGTGAGAGCCTTCCCAAAAAGAAAAAAAAAAGCAAGCAAGCTAACAGGAGACACAGCCTAGCTGCAAGAAGGGACCAGACGTCCCAGACCTAGGCATCCCCAGTCTCAACTTCCTCGGCTGGAAAGAAATGAAAGAGAACCCAGGGTGAAGCCAGCCATGGTGGCACACATGGGAGGCTGAGGTAGAGGATCAGAAGTCCACAGGCAGTCTGCTACATAGGAAGTTCAAGACCAGCCTGGACTGGATAGTGAATTTCGGCCTCAAAAAAATCAATAAGAAGAGCAAGAAGAAGAGAAAGGAAGAAGAAAAAAAACGGAAGAAGAGAGGAGGAAGGAAGGGGGAGGTGGAGACAGACGGAAGAAGATGAAGAGGAAGAGGAAGGAATTGAAGTTTTTAGGGAAATAGGGATTCTTCACAGGGCACAAACTCCCTTTCTCTTGCTACCCAACTTGTAATTGACCTTATCTCTGCACCCTTAACTTACAAGGCCAACTGGCTTTCTCTGAGGAAAACAGGAAAGTCTTGCATTCATCTCCCCGAGAGTCTTTTCAGTTCTGGGCCTGTCTCATCTCCTGGGGTTGTTTGGACAACCCTAGGAGCAAGCTCCTTATCCCCTTGCACCAGGATCTCACAGGGCTGCCAGGTGCTGGGGGCAGGGTAGGAAGCAGGCCAAGCTCACTCAGAACCCAACCGATTGGCGGGAAGGGGTGGAAGAGAAGAGAAGGGACAACTTCAAAAATTGTCCAGGTGGAGCTTCAGAGAAACACTGGTGGCAAAGGAAGGACCGCCAAAGAGGCTCCAGTGTAGTTCTGGGGAGCAACCGTCAGGACGGCTAGTTCCATGGCCTCGCCGTCTGCTCACCCACTCTCCTCAGCCCCCAGCCCAGCCCAGCTCAGCCCTCACCCGGTTGCGGGTCACAGTGTGGTTGAAGGTGTAGATGTTGACCAGCTCGCTGTTGACCTCATCCGCGTAGAGGTGCTCAAACTCGGCGTCTTTCTGCGAGACGTTCTTGGGCCCCAGGACACCCATATGGCTCTCGACCGAGATCGCCAAGAGCACCAAGAAGGGCAAGCCCGGAGCGAACATGGCCCCGGAAGGGCGGCAGAGGCGGCGGCGGCAGCAGTGGGGGCGGTGGAGACAGGCGACAGGACACCTCCTGGACGAGTTGCGGCTGCGGCCGCAGGTTCCAGCATCTCACCAGGACCAGAACTTTAACCCCGGCCCGAGATTAGGAAACGTCCCCTCCCTGGAGACGCGGAGGCGCTCCCGGGGCCGCGGACGGAGGGGGGGCGGGGGGGGCAGGCGAGGTGGGGGCTCCGAGAAGGGACCCCGGCTCGCGGGGGGCTGAGCAAGGCCCCGCAACCCCGCAGCCCCCCGCCAGGGCCGTGAGAACCAGGGGCGGCTGGTTGCTGGGAGCCAGAAGACGCC